ACTGACATCTATTTAAATGTTACACATGAAGAAAACACGGAAAACTAAAAACTACCAGCAACTTCAGTGATTTTTATCCACATGGCCACTAGTGAGTAAGCTTACTTAAAGGCTACTGCTGGAAACAAAGTATTCACCCTCGTAATGTATACTACAGGTATACATTTTTAATTTGTATATATTTAATTTTGAAATAGGAAAAAATAATTATAAAGATATCAATATCAATGGTTTATTAATTCCAACAGAAATACAAACTGCTTTCATAGTTTCGATCTAAAATTCATCTTCAACATTTTATAAATTTGTCTCTGAATCTGCTACTCCTAAAAAAATAAATAAATTTTTTCTGACAGGTTAATAGCTATCTGAAGATTTTAATTTGTATATATTTAAGAGTGAAATAGGAAAAAATAATTATAAAGATATCAATATCAATGGTTTATTAATTCCAACAGAAATACAAACTGCTTTCATAATCATACATTATTAATTGTTATTTATTTTATCTATAATTTGTATGGTTGTTTGTGATCAATGATGATAACATTATTTAGAACAGAAAAAGTCACATAAAGGTGAAATTTAAACATTTTGATTTTTTTCTAGAAATGAATGGAAAAAATGTTTTGAACATTTAATGTGGACATAAGTTGAGTAACCAAAGGGCATCACATATTTTATTGGAGTAGATACATCAGCGATATCTGACAATATGAAACTTTCAAAAGAACATATTCACATGCTATTGTTCTATGGCCACAACACAATGAAGGCTCACAATCTAATCTGCAAAGCATTTCTTAAAGCATTCATGAGTGAACAAAGGTCAACCATCTGTTGCAAATGTCAAAGAGCTGACAGTGCAGAATAAGGTAATGATTTGCATTTGTTTGGCATCATTGTGATGGCAAACAAATACTAACATCACTGTCACAAAAGAACTCTATTGTGAATAACTGGATTGGTTGAATGCCAAGATCAAAAAAACTTCATCCAAAAATTGACAAAGTCCAATACCATCACAACAACATACCAACACATAGAGCAAAGATGATCTTAGAGAAGCTGGCCAGTCTGGTCTGGAAAGTTCTGCCTCATCCATGTTATAGCCCAGACTTAGTACCAACTGATTATCATGTATTTCATGCCCTACAGAACCATATTGCCAATATATAGCTCAATGTCAATATGACAATACCCGACACTCAAAACTTTCTTCAAAGAAAAACCCTAGTCATTCTATGGGATTGAAAGTTAGCAACAAACTTAGCATTGTGATTGACGTTGATGGTGATTATCTACCAGAGTGAACTATAATTGTTGAGTTAATTGTCAATAAAGTTTCTTTTTTCAAAATGTCTAAATTTCACTTTTATAACCTGATATCAAATCAACAATATTTTATAAATNTATATATTTATTTTAAAAAAAAATGTATTTAACTTATACGATAGACTATTAAAATTCAAATTATTTTTAAACGAGTTTTGTAATTTCCGCTTTTAATTCCTATTCATAATAATTTTGTTCAGAAAAAAAAAGACATTTTGCTAAGAAAGATGAATATCTATATTAGCTTGGTGATTAGTTGCAATATTACATTTTCGTTATTTGCTAGAAATGCATTTAAGTTAAAAAAAAAAAAAGGAAGAAGAAGAGGAAAAAAATATTTAGATTGGATACCGTTGACGGTCTTGTTCTTTGCTTGTGTTGTTAAAGATGAGGGAATAGGTAACATGACCCCTTCTAAATTAAAAAAAAAAAAAGGAAGAAGAAGAGGAAAAAAATATTTAGATGGATGAGAATTTCTTGATCATCAGTAACTTTCTGATAATCATTTATCATTTTTATAAAAGTATTTTGTGGATAATTTATGAACAAAATGTAAGGAATAAAATTGGAAATAAATGAACTTTAATGATTTTTAATCTGCTTTTATTACTTTTAGTTTCATCTTAACATCTTTCTTCAATTTTAACGTTATAATTTAGATACGATCAATATTTATTTTTAAAATTCGGTTAAAAAGAAAAAAAATCCTTAATAGTTTCCTCCCTGATTAATCATCATCATATATTTAAAGCACTGAATAAATTCTCCTTTTTTTTATTTATTTATTTATCTCTATGACTGACTGTCTTAATATTTCGTCTCTATAATTTATACTTATATATATATATTTTTAACTTTATGAAATATGTGTAACTTTATCAAGATTTATTCAACTGCTGGCTCATTTATTTAATGAGATATTTAGCTAAACATTAGCCAAGTAGATAACAAAGGATTGAGAGTAATCCTAGATAAATATTGTTACTTAAGTCAGGCTCTAATACAGAGAAAGAAAACCATAAAAGAGAACATTCAGTCGTTAGTAAGAAGAAATTCTCTTACTTGATTGATTGTGTAAGCACATTTATACAGGAAGAAATTATTCAAAATTACTTTTAAGAAAGTAAATTTAATATAAAATCGGGTACATCTAGCCAAATATTTATATTTCGCTTTACATTAATAAAATATTAAACAATTAGAGTGTAGCATCTACTTTCACGATAACCATTAGCGAAGTATAAGTTGAAGAACTTGGATAAAATTTTAACAAAAAAAAAACAAATATAAATATGCGATTAGAACAACGATACAATCCATTCTTTTAAATAAAGGGTTTAAAGCTTTATTTAAAAGGAAACTATAGAATTTTAAACTACTTTGTCAAGTTAAGATGTTAATACTTTAGCATTCCTTCTTACAATCTCTCATGAATAGTTTATTTGTAAAAATAAAGAAATAGAAGGTCCTTTATCATTTAAGTCTTATCACTTCTTTTCTATTCTCTAGCCTGTATGATCGATTTTGACCAAGCCCACTACACAGAACACTATTTTGTATAATGATCTTCTACGTCGCTATTGCATCACCAAACTTTGTGTAATCGAAAAATAATACGTCTCTTCTGTATTTTTCTTTTTTTCCACCCCCTTTCTAAAGAAAACAAAATTCGACAGGATAACCTTAGAAAACTAAAACGATTGTTTAATGTCAAAACGACTATTTAAAGTGGCTTTTGCTATTAATTTTAAAAGTTAATCTCGTTTAAAAGTTTTATTCTCTTCAAGAATTTATTTTTTTATTTTTATTTTATCCCTCAATTTTTTCTACTGTTTAAACTTAAAATATTATTTATTCTTTGTATAAAAGTTTTCAAATTTATGGGATTAATTTTAAAATGGATACTTCTAAATTAAGTTATAATCTATAAAATGTTCGGATTAATGTAATTTTTCGATCAAAAATATCGGAAGGTTTACTGTAAAATCAACGTTTTGGTAACAATATAGAAATTTCTGATATGCTTGGGGGCAATAAATTTTAAGAATTCTACTAGATATTGACAGGAGTTTTAAAGATGTTCTCTTCTCCCGCAATTCCTAGGAGTATGATTGGTAAAATGAGTGTACGTGGATGGGTCCATGTCAGTTAGAACGTGACATTTTGGCTTTAGGGGCTTTTGTTCGTTATATTTCTAAGTTTACACAATTGATAACAAAGTGAAATATTTTCTATTTAAACTTTAATGAAGTTTATTTAAAACGAAATTTTTCTAAATTTTCTAAAAATTTTATTGTAGAAATTAAATAATTTCGTATCAATTTATATGTAAAATCATTAACAATTTATATAATAATTAATTAACTTATTATACTAATAATAGAATTTGTTACATAAATAACATATTATCAATGTAATTATTGTGTAAAATTGGATAGTTTTCACGAGTTTTAATTACGTATCTTTATTATTTAATATACATTCGAACGGTGTTCTTTATATATTCATCCACATTATTCATTTGTACGTTCATTAATCAAGTTTATCTCATTCAAAAATGAATTCTCTTCAAACTAATAAGCGTAACGTATTTAACATAAGACAAAAGCATATCCTATTCAATACTTAGCTTTAATATAATTTAGAATACATCACAACTATACAAATACACAAAGAGCTCTTTATTCTCGTTATATTAATATTAAAGGCAAAATTCCATCAACAAGAAACAAATGAAAATTCATCTTTTCGCTATATTATTTCTAAAACTTTGATTTTTTTAAATGTATTTTAGATTTAAAAAAACAGAAAAATAGAGTAATAAAACATTCGTATTCATCAATGTCAACTCTGAACAAGAAAATATCATAAAATTTATTAGATAGTGAAAGATTCTATTATAAATTAGAATTTAATCGATAAAAAAAAGTTTAAAAAATGCAATTTTAAAAACCGTTAAGTGATTTGTGAACACAATTACCAAGAATTTTTTTATTCTTCTTGGAACCAATGCCACTTCCTAATATTTGACAACTGTATTCTACAGCATTACCAATGCATTAAGTTCTATACCCGAACAACTAGCAAAGAAAAGAAATTAGACAAAGCAGTTTGATAAATGACATTTCGAGTAACGTAAATTGTTACTAACCAATCAGCAAGTTACGTTTCATTACATTTGCAAATAACGGAGTGGTAACTGAATAAAATTAATTCGGAACAACCCTCCATTTCTTTTTTTTCCCTCCAAAATTCTCTATCTTTCTTTTAATAGGCTATATATTCAAAAATCCTTTTCCAAATTAATTTGATGACTTTTTAAGTTTTAATGGATTTTTATCATTATCAGTTTTTCTAAAGTAAATTTCTTTTTTCTTGAAAGATTTAGAAAAGAATTTTATATAAAAAAATTTTATACATAGAGAAACAGTTTCTCTTTTAGTTTATTTAATTAATTTTTTATGTATTGATGTTTCAATCAAATCTTGGAAATGAAATTAAAGTAATTAGTAAAGTCTGACTTTGTTTTATTTAGTTAGAAAGTTTTTTTTTAATTTACTTATTTTCTTCTTAACATCTTAAGTACAAAATAAAATGGGATTAGCGATGAAAGTACCTTGTTGTATAATTGCTTAATTTATTCATTTTCTTTATTTTATTTCTAGAAAAATTCAGGATTTATATATGGAGTTTGTCAAAAAGTGGATAATTAAGTGGAAGTTAATAAAATGGAATTTTCTACAATTCTGATATTTTATATTTTATTAGAAATATCATCATCTTCGTACCAACCAGGTAAGATTTTTTTAAAATGATTTATCTCTTAATTTTTAAAAATGTATTTTAAAAAAACCCTCTCGACTTATAATTAAAATTTATCGATAACTTCGAAGTAAATTTTCAAAGCTTACATCAAAAACAACCAATCTCATAAGCGCATTAAAAATTTCAATTTTTAATTAAATACACTTTAATTATGGATAAAACTTAAATACTTAAGTAATAAAAGAAGTATTTTTATAATAATATATTTATATTAAAAAAAACGAGTATTTTAATGGTTATTTTCTGTTTTAAATTAATACGGAAAACAGAATAAATTTAATATTTAATTAAGTAATTAAAGGGGGTGTTTTTTTTCTACTTTGTATTATTGAAGTATCGGTTCTTCAAAAAGTGGAACAAAGGGAGGTTTTGGCAGTGATGTTAGATAATCGATATTTTTCTAACGGCTAAGGAAAGAGGTAGGCAGTAGAGATAAAGTTTGATTAACTGTTGAGCAGACAAAAGTCGAACAATGTAGGTCTTGGTACGTTGTTATTCTCGGTTTCATTGTATTTGTTCGGTAGTATTAACCCAAAACCGCTCTTTGCACCGTATTTGGTCAAGAGAAAGCTTTCTCGACATCAACCAAGAAATAGATAAAACGATCAATGTATTGTGATCAGGAATCTCCGCCCCAAGCATCGTACTTCCTTCCGGCTTTTTGTTTGCCTTTAATCTTTTAGTTGACAGTTACGGCTGTTGTATTATTCATGACGTCATCTTTATCCATATATCCAAACTTCGGAAGTTAACTCTCCCCCCTCCTACACTCTTATTGCTCTTTCTTACTTTCGGTATCCACGGTCGTATACAGTATCATTTGTTTCTTTGCTTCCTTTTCACGTAAATTTCAATCATGGACACATAACATTGACGTATATTGTTCGTGTAAACAGTACAATATTCAAAATATCAATTCATTTTAACGTTAATTACTTAATTAATATTCTGGAGATGAACGTGGCTTCAATTGCTTTCCAGTAATTAAATTAATTTCTTATTAAATTCTTAAAAATATATTATAATATTTTATTAATTAAATTTATACATAAATGATTTTACAGTAGTAAATGATTAGAGTTAATTGAGTTCTTAGCTTTAAAATTTTTAATGATCATTTATGTGATTTTTATGTAAATAATATGCATAATGATTAATTAAAGATTAATTTATAATTCATATAATAACTTTCTAATATCATTAGAAAAAGAAATAAGGAGATAATTATTTTTAAATCCTTTTAATACTCTCCGAACATTTATTGTAATTAAGTAGAATAATTTAATTGTAATTTAAGATTTTATTATAATAAAATTTACCATAGTAAACAATTAAATTATTGGAAGCATTTTATAATTATTTCTTTATTTAAAAAAAATACTTATTCATTTTAATAAGTACTTGATATAAAATAATAATAAAAAAAATGAAAACAAATTTATGTAAAATTATAAATTTTGTAAACCTTAATATTTATTAATTTATAATTTAGTAAAATTTTTAATAGAATTACTTTGTTAAACAGATAGAAAAACAGCAGATTAATTTATAATGGAATTATTTATATTAAATTGATATATAGGTGTATAAAAATAATTAAATATAATTTAATTTCA